TGTTTGGAGTCCTTGCTCCAGGCTCGTGAGTCGCTGAAGCAGTTGTGCGAGGACGGCGGAAGGGATCGTCGTCGTTTCCTCGCTTGTCGCAGCCGGGTTGGGCTGCGCTTCAGCCGTCAGATTCGTCTGACCACCAGATCCTCCGGCCATTCTCACACGCGAGCGTGTGCCGGACGCCACTTTCCGAATGTCGTAATTTTCGGGAGTGGCAGTGCGAAGGATTCCTGGGCCGCTCTCATACCATGCTGCGATCAGAAGTTGATCGTGGCCTAGGATCTACTCAGGAAGGTTCGCACGCAGAGAAGTGATGTTGGTGGGCCCTTGACCTCAATAGCAGAGTGAATGTAAAATGCTTTGAGATGATTTAAAACATGCAAATACAGCAAATATAAATATGAGTACAGGGGAGATGAAACGACCTAGCTAGCCATGTACTCTAAGGGGTACATTCCCTTATTCAAATACATTCCCAACCGTGCGGCGCGAACAGTTACGAAACTGTTCCCACAGAAACCATCCTGCCTGCAGCTGCCTGATGCTGTCTGCTCCGACGGTCCAGATGCGTCCCAACTGTCTGACGCTTCGAGTCGATTCCAACCGTCTGACGCTTCGCGTTCATTCGTGATACTGCGTGATTCTCTTTGCTGCGGTGAGGAGTGCACAGTAATATTCAAGTATTACTATTCGTAACACCATCCAAGGATGAAGTAAGGGCATGGAGTTTTTTTCGTCTTAACTGGTAGTGAAATAATCATTGCAAGATGTTCAAGTGAAGTGTTTTAGAATGTGAGCGGGTGGGATGAGAAGGTAGGTACTCAACAGGGTCCTCGCTAGGTTTTGAACCCCCCTGATGCATCAGACGGGCCCGAAGGGCCCGTCTGATGCATCAGAATTTTTGCTTTTGAGTGTCTGACGAATCAGAAATTTTCAAAAACCTTGTCTGACCAATCAATACAGAGTTACGAGTGTGCAGATCCACGTGGGAAAAAAATTGAGTCGAACTTCTCTCTCGCCTGTCACATCCATTCTAAGGGCACACAACACTCACCCTGTCATACTACATTCGCCCCGTCACACCACATTCGCCCCGTCACACCACATTCGCCCCTTTTCACCACATTCGCCCTATCACAAGAGGGGTTCGCACTGCGTATAAAGATTGCAACGAGTCAACCTGTCACAGCAGTGATCCATGCACTGTCACAGGAGAGATTCCCTTCCCACCGCTGGAAATCGCGATATGCTATGTTTCGATTTCAGACGAAACAGAAAACAGGTGTCTGATAGAACAGATGGAAACTAAAAACCATTTCTGACCCATCAGACGGCATAATGCACACATTTCTTGAAAATCAGATGAGTGAAAAAAAATCTGTCTGATTTCTCAGAAAAACAGACAAAAATGTCTGATAGCGAGGGCCCTGGTACTCAACCTGAAGGAGTCGCCCCGTACCATGTATTATCTTCAATAGGTACGTCAATCGCCGGTACCAGTACGGTAAGTAAACTGACTTCCATCCAAGGATGAAGTAAAGGCATGGAGTTTTTTTCTTCTTAAGTGGTAGTGAAATAATAATTGCAAGATGTGTAAGTGAAGTGTTGTAGAATGTGAGCAGGTGGGATGAGAAGGTAGGTACTCAACCTGAAGGAGTTGCCCCGTACCTTGTATTATCTTCAATACGTCAATGAACCAGAAAGAGCTGGTTAGCTTTGGGCTTTTGTTTCACTAGCGTTGGCACCTCTACTTGCAACAGTTTTGCCTCCCTGTCTACTTGTTTTCACAGCTGGAGCACTCTGCTGCTGAGTATTCACATCCACTTTTCCTCTTTTCGATACGCTAGCACTTGCTAACCTTCCTTTACTGCCACTTTGTGCTGGCACCTGTTTTCTCCCAGCGGCTTCTGCACCACCAGCGGAACCTTGCTGCTTCTGCACAGGGTTTGTTGTGCTTCCCTTGTCCCTGTCCTTCTGCACCTCTTGCCGCCTCGCCGTCTGTGGCTGCTGATGCTGTGCTACCTGCCCTTTGCTCCCACCTGCCTTGGCTGCTTCTTCCTGACCACTTCCTCCACTTTTTTTTGCAGCTGCTGCAGGAGCCGCCCTCCCCCCTTTCACCGAGGCCACACCCTTCACTGCACCTGCAGTAGACGCAACCCTTGCTCCACCACCCACTTCCTTGCCTTTACTGCTTGCACTAGACGTTTGAGTCCCTACTTTGGTGCCCGTTGGCGTTGCTGTAGCTCCTGCTGCCACTGCAGCCTTCTTCCCCTGTGTGATGCCCGTGTGAGCAGCAACTACCTTCCCATCTACACTAGTCCCTGCCTGTGCTGCTGCAACACCTGCCTTTCCCTTTTGCCCCGCTGCTGCTCCTCCAGCTGTTGCTCTTGCCAGTGTTTTGCTGCCTGCTGCAGTAGCAGCAGCTTTTCCTGCTGCTGCTGCACTACCTGCCGCACCTACCGCCTCTCTGCCTCCAGCTGCCTCCTTGCTACCCACTACCTCTGCACTCCGACTCTCCTTACCACTGCTCGTGTGCCCCTTGGCTCCAACCTTTCCTTCCGGCTCGTGACGGGGCTGCTTTGCTGCTATTGGCACTGCCACCTGCAGCCCTCCACCTGTGGTGCGCGTGCTGTTACTCTCCGCAGCCCCATGCGCCCCCGCCCCTGCCTTGACTTTTCCTGATCCTCCCCCCCTGCTTCCTGCTGCCGCTGCTGCACCCTGCTGTTGCACTCTCGATTCACCAGCCACTGCTCCCCGCCCTGCTGATGCTACTACTGCTCTTGACCCTTCCACCGAACCAACTGACGCGGTGCTTGAACTAACGGATGCTGCATCCGAACCAGAAGTTGCACCCGAACCAGAAGATGCACCCGAACCAGAAGATGCACCCGAACCAGAAGATGCACCTGAACCAACTGAAGCTGCATCCGAACCAACCGAAGCTGCACCCGAACCAACTGAAGCTGCACCTGAACCGATTGACACTGCACCCGAACCAACGGATGCATTACCTTTCTTCTCTCCTCCTGCCCCTGCTGCTATCCCTTTGCCTCTGCCCTCTCCTCCATCCCCATCCCTTGTCACCTGTGACTGCACAGTTATAGCAGATGAGTCACCTTCCTTTGCAATGCCATCCTGCTGCCTGTCTGTTAGCGTCACACCTGTGCTCGCCGCCTGTGTGCCCCCCCCCACCTGGGCCTGCTCTCCTCCTTCCTTCTCCAATGCTCCACTTCCGCCACTTTCCTTCGTCCCACCTGACATCACCTCTTCCTTCTCCTTCCCCTCCTCCACAGCATCTCCCGCAACCACATCCCTCCCCTCCGCCTTCACACCGTCCTTCCCCCCATCCTTCCCCTGCACCGCCTTCTTCTTTTTTTTCTTCTTCTTCTTGTCCTTGTGTTTCCAGGGCTCTGTGAAGCTGATGGCAGTGTCGTTGGAGTCAGTGGGGAAGTCGGGCCACAGCCGCTCGCGCTTGCTCACGTCCACATGCACGCCGTCCCACTCCTCTACATCCACCTGCGCCCCTCCATCCACTTCCTTTGACGCTGCCATCTTGTTCCCACCGGTATTCTCCGCGGCACCTGCACCAGCACCAGCGCCGCCGCCGCCGCCGCCGCCACCACCACCACCACCACCACCACCACCACCACCACCACCACCACCACCACCACCACCACCACCACCACCACCACCACCACCACCACCACCACCACCACCACCACCACCACCACCACCACCACCACCACCACCACCACCACCACCACCACCACCACCACCACCACCACCACCACCACCATCAGAAGCAGTAGCAACAGCAGCAGCATTGGCAGCAACAGCGGTACCAGCAGCAGTAGAAGCCGGGATGGTGGCACCTGGAACTGCTGTAGCGTTGGCTCTACTTGCCCCTGCCATGCCCCCCTTGGCCCCACTGTCAGCACTGCCAGCAGCAGCGCGCTCTGGCGTGTGATCAGCAGCAGCAGCAGTGGCAACAGCTGACGAGGCTGTGGAAACCCCGGCAGCAGCAGTCGCAGCAGCAGTGGTGGCAGTGGTAGCAGCGGTAGCAGCGGTAGCAGCAGCAGCAGCACCACCACCACCACCACTAGTCACTTGCCCCGCACCACGTCCACCACCCCCCACCACTGCCACTTGTGCCTCCCCCCTCTGCTGTAATTGCTGCTTTCCCCGCGCCCCTGCTGCCTCTGCTGCACCTGGAGACGCCTGGCGCAGGGCCCAGTGGGGAGGGGGGCGACAGCCGCGCGGGGTGAAGCTGCAGGGGGGGCAGTCGGGGGGGAGCGGTGTGGTGGCGGTTGTGGTGGTTGGGAGAAAGGAGGAGGCGGACGAGTTGGCAAAGCAGCGGGTGCAGTCGTGCTGCGAGGCATGGCACTCTGCACGCAGTTGCAGATCGGGGAATGTTGGGGGCGGTTGGGAGGGGAAGTTGAGTGGGGCACAAGTGGTGATGAGAGAAGTGCAAGGGAGGGATACAAGGAGTGGACGCTGATGGGAGTCAGGGCTAGGGAACAACCAGGGGGGAGAGAGAGGTGGATTATGTGGATGCGCCATGGAATGGAGAGACAGCAGCAGTGGCAGTGGCAGTGAGGCAGTGCTGGGCTGGGGTTGATGCATGCGAGCATGTGCAGCAGCAGCAGCGCGGTGCTGTGAGGCTATCTCACCGGCCACACAGGCCATCTCACCAGCCACACAGGCCATCTCACCGGCCACACAGGCCATCTCACCGGCCACACAGGCCATCTCACCGGCCACACAGGCCATCTCACCGGCCACACAGGCCATCTCACCGGCCACACAGGCCATCTCACCGGCCACACAGGCCATCTCACCGGCCACACAGGCCATCTCACCGGCCACACAGGCCATCTCACCGGCCACACAGGCCATCTCACCGGCCACACAGGCCATCTCACCGGCCACACAGGCCATCTCACCGGCCACACAGGCCATCTCACCGGCCACACAGGCCATCTCACCGGCCACACAGGCCATCTCACCGGCCACACAGGGCTCGCGGAAGCGCAGGAAGCCGGCCTGCGCCAGAGCCAGCAGCACCGCCCTCTCCCGGCGCTCGCGCCACGGCTTGGTGCTGCGCTGGCACGGGTCGTAGTAGTGGTACGGTGCTGGGTAGTGCGGTGATGACTGGCAGGTGGGGGTGGAGATGGGTGGGAAGGGGAGGGAGAGGCCGAGAAAGGGGGGTGAGGGCGAGAAAAGCGGGGGAGGAGGGCGGGGAAAAGAAGAGCGTGGATGAGGAGACAACACCTGAGCGTAAGGAGGAGAGAGGAGAGAGAGGAAGCATGCATGAGGGCGGTGGTGCAGGGAGCGACTCACAGTGAAGCCATAAAGTGTGATGTGCTGGCAGCGCTGCAGCGCCACCATGACCGCTATGAACCCCGCGGTGGGCGCGTGGCCGGCGTTCCTGGTGACGTACTGCATGAAGGCGGGGTGGATGGGGTACGTCTGCACCGTGTACGACCGCTTGCGCGCCTGCCCGTGGGGTGTGTGGAGGGACGGTGAGGGTGAAACGAAGGCGTGAAGGGGGGGAGGAGGGGATGAGAGGGAGGGCGGAGGGTGGCAAAGTTGGGGGCGGTATGGTGAATGAGTGAGTTGGCGTGCACTGGGTGTGGGTGGGGCAGCATGGCATGGCAGGTGTGGCAGGAAGGAAGGCGGGCAGGGGCACAGTGCACTGACCGTGACGAGGCCCTGTGCGGTGGTGTGCGACACTATGGGCACCAGCACCTTCTCATCGCGCTCCTGCCACCACCGCATGGAAGGGGGCGGGATGCAGGGAGCGGTGTGAGGAGCATGTGAGGGTGCAGGTGGAGTGAAGATATGCGGATATTGAACAGGGATTGCAGGGGCGGTTGTCGGGCTTCATGTTGTGACTGGGGCCTTATGGCATGGCAGGGCCGACAGGAGAGGGAAGAGGGAGGAGAAAGAACAACGAGAGAAGGTAGAGGAGGGAGGGAGAGGGGTAAACATTGAGAACACACCAGAACAAAATCATTGAAAGCGAAAGAGAGTTGAGCAGATAACGAAGAGAGGAGCAACTCGCTCGGGTGCTCATGCGGCATGGCTTGCCACCACACCCGTCCAGAGCAGTGCGGCATCTGCTCGCACACGTGCCTCCTGTGCAAGGCGTGTGTGGCAAGGCAGGGCGGAGTGCAATGGGCAAAGGCAATGGGAGGAGGGCAGAGCGGCACCTGGAAGCCCCAGCTGTAGTAGTCTGTCACTCTGAAGTTGGTGCGCCGCCCCACCTGCTCCTCAAAGCCCTGTGGATGCCACACGCATGCATGGGGGGGAAGAGGGGAGGTGTGTGTGTGCTGTGCTTGTGCGCGCGCAGGAGGAGCAGCATCCATGCCAGCCACCAGCGCAACGAACCATTCTGTTACTTTCTGTTAGCGTAAGAGAAACCTACGTTGACACTCTGTTACTCCACCTGACCTACTACTCCCCCCCCATAGCTTCCCTCCCCCCTTGCTCTCCCCCGCTCCCCTGACACGCAGCAGCAGCAGCAGCAGCAGCAGCGGCGGCGGCACTGACTCGGGTGCGGGCGCGGTTGCAGCGCAGCACGGCGGAGTGCGAGTCGATCTCGCGGCCCAGCTGCATGGCCAGCAGCGCGCCGCCCGCCCCCACCACTGCACACGAGTTGAACGCCTGCCCCGCTGGCAGCACGTCCGTCACTGCCGCCCACACACCCCAGCCATGCGAGGGGCGGAGGGTGAGGACAGAAAGGACGGGGGCGGTGAGTGGAGGAAGCGAGGAGAAAGCAGACATGGAGGGAGGTGGATGCATGAGAGGAAATAAGAGGGTGTTCCGGGGTCAGGTAAGAGAGGCAGGAGGGAGTAGGAGGGAGAAGTAGGGTGCAGTGGAGCAGGGATGCAGGCAGGCGCGGTGACGGGAGACGAGGAGGGGTGGCAGGGGTGGAAGGGGGAGGGTATGACGGACAGGGCAGCACGTCGAGCAGGTCAGCATCCACCATCCGCAGCTTCCTCACTGCGCGCTGCAACCCCTCCTCCTCCACCACCTCCTCCTCCTCGCCCCCTTCTCCTCCCCCCCCAACCACCCCCTCCCCTTCTGCCTGCACTCCCCCCCCCTCGCCCCCCTCGCCCCCTGCGGCGGCGTCAGCAGCAGCAGCAGCAGCAGCGGAGGCGTCTGTGAGTGCAGGGTCGGAGGCGACAAGGCGGAGCATGGCGGGAGTGGCGAAGCCGAGCAGCCAGCGGTGGCCCTCCATGTTGTGCCGGTTCACCACCACGTCCCCCACGTACTGCGCCGCCACCCCCGCCAGCCCCGGGAACGCCGCCAGCTCCTGCTCCTTCTGCTCCAGTGCCGTGCCGTGGGGGGTCGCCACGGTGGTGGTGCGCGCACAGGGGAGTGGACGGTGGGGGGTTGAGGGAATGGGGTTGCGGGGGTGAGGGTTGGGACGGGCCGGTTGGCGGAGGGTTGTGTAGAGGCGAGTGGGGAAGAGTGTAAAAGGCGAGGAGGGGTGAGGGGTAGAGGGGGGCGGAAGGGAGGGGGGATTGTGCGGACACCGTTGGCAGGTTGGGCGGGTATGTCGAGTGAAACAAATGCGGAGATCGGGAGAAGGACGTTGGGGCAAGAGACGGGAAGGGGCCGAAAGAGGGAGAGGAGGGAGGGTAGGGAAGGTAGGGGGGAGGGAGGGGAGGGAGGGGAGGGAGGGGAGGGAGGGGAGGGAGGGGAGGGAGGGGAGGGAGGGGAGGGAGGGGAGGGAGGGGAGGGAGGGGAGGGAGGGGAGGGAGGGGAGGGAGGGGAGGGAGGGGAGGGAGGGTAGGGAGGGTAGGGAGGGGGGCGGGACGCACGAGGCACTCAGAGCCGCTGTAGAAGGCGGGGCACACGCACGTGTCGTTCTGGCACTGCCCCCACCCGATCCGCCCGCACAGCAGGCACGCCACCGCGCTCGAGTTCCCCCCCGCGCTCCCCCCAACCGCCGTGCCGTTCCCGCCCGCACCCCCGACCGCGCCGCCCGCGCCCTTGGCGGTGGCAGCGGCGGCAGTGGCGGGGGCCTTGAAGCGCGAGAGGATCTGCGAGGAGTTGGCGAGCATCCACGCCTTGCCCTTCTCGTACATCAGCCCCATGCCCGCCGCGCCGCCCTCCTCGCCCACGTCCGGCAGCGGGATGTACGCCACGCGGAACCGCATCACGCGGTGCGGAATGCGGCGCCGCCCGAACAGCCCGTAGTTGATCGTGAAATACCCCTCCTGCGCGCCCGAGCCGCCACCGCTACTACTTCTACTGCTGCTGCTGCTGCTGCTGCTGCTCTCCCCGCCTTCGCCGGTGTCATCGGCGGCAAGTCGCACGTCCGCCGCGCGGGTTTTGATGCTGGGGAGCGCGGCGTGCAGCGCGGGGTGCAGCCACGCGCCGCACAGCAGCAGCGCGGAGCAGAGGAGCAGCGCCACGCACAGCTGGAAGCGGCGCCGCGGGAAGCGGAGCAGCGAGGCGACGAGGCTCGCGGCGGCTGACGACGAGGGCGGCACGAGGCGGCGATCGGCCCCTGTGGCGCCGGGTGGCGCGGCGCCAATGTCGCTGCAATGGCCATTGCTGCTGTAGCTGCCGTTGCTCAAGGACGCGTTGTTCAAGCCTCCCGCGCCTAAGCTGGGTCGGCCGCCCCCAGCCGCGTGATATGCGGACGAGGTGCGCCGCCGGCCGATGCCCGCGTCTTTCATCCAGGGGTGCGCGCGCAGCACGCAGGGGTGATGCGCGGGACGTGGGCGCGGGGCGGGGAGCGGGTCGCGGCGAGAGGTGGCTTGTATTGGGTTGTGCAGGCATGTGGGTGAAGGCTACGCTGGCGACGGTGTGTTTTCTATCTGTGAGTGGATAATGGGGGTGGGTGGGTGGTGACCTGGTGGAAGTGGTGGGGCCTGGGAGTGTTGTCGTGTGCCCAACGCTGCGGGTTTCGGTTGAAACGTTCTTGTTTTGGTGTGGCGCGTTTCTGGGATAACGTTACTGCAAGAGACTCCATGTAAGGAATTTGCCAATTCCTTACTGTAGCCTTGCCTTAACGGGTACAGCCCGAGCACATCGCGTCAGGTGGCTCGGCCTACACTTCCGCACCGAACCAATGCCGAGTCGCCCCGCACCAATCGCGACACATCCAAACCATCCACGTCCCGAGGTCCTCGCCTAGCACGATTTCGACCCTATAAATGCGTGCTCCTTTATCATTCTTGATCATTCTGTAATTCATTCTCTTTGTAGATGACTTCCGCGCACTTTGTCTAGTAAAACTCATAACACTTGGTATCAGAGCTACTTTCCTAGCTTCTCCGTTTTTTAGGGTGTATTACCCCTCGGGGGGGGGGGGGACAGGGAAGGATGCCATGGTGACAGGAGAAGCGCAAGAGCCGGCCAGGAGAATGGGTAGTTGCTCCTAGCGGCCATGAATTTCAAGGCGCTCCTGCGGCACCGACGGATCCTTGCCCTCGACGGTCGAGATGGACCGTGGCCTCCCTCCCCCCGGGTGGCGGACAGCTTTTGCTGTCGTCGCAATTAATGCGTGAGTTTAACAGTGTTTGTTTCGTCATTTTCGGAGTTGATTCTGAGTAGCGGCTGACGTCGGCAAGATCGTCGTCGGCGCAACGTCCGAAATTGACGGAAGCAAGGCGTTGTGCGAGTGGCGTCGGCACGTGGTCGACAACTGCGCGCGACAATTTCGAAGCTAGCTGCGTGCGTCAAGTGGCGATGGGCGTCATCGTCACGTTGCGCACGAGCTGGTGGAAGTCTTCGGCAAGTGGCGCGTCGTTACTGTGCGCGAAGATTTCGGGTAGCAGCACGTGGAAAACGACTGCTGGTCGAGCAGCCAGGCGCAATGTGTGATTTGCGTTGGAAAAACCGACGGCGAAGAGAGGCGGCGTGGCGACTGCCCGAAGAAAGCGGGGGTCCACTGTCGTCCCGCCCGGGTGCGGCAGGTGTTGCTGCAGGAGGGTGCGTCGTGGGCGTTTTTCGGCAGAGCGGCACAGTGTGGGACGGAAGTTGTTCTTCAAACCACCGAAAAGTTCGGAAAAGGCCGCCTACGACCAGACTGTTCCGGCTTGGGTGACTACTATTTCTGCCACAATGATAATCGGCGAAATTTTCGGAAGCAACAGTGACAGCCGATTCTGCACTTCAGGCGGCACAGTTCCCTCCGGCCAGAGGTACCTGTGTTTGCAGACAGCCTAGTACACCACGGAACAACGATTCGGCGCAACGTTTAGACCCGCGATTTTCAGGGGTTCTACCGGCTACAATAAACGGAGTTGCGACTAATACGGGTCCGGCGAGAGAAACGGGTTCCGACTTCAGGAGGCGAGAAAAACGACCTACAGCGACGACTTTTGCTGAGGCCGAGTCTCACAGCTAAGCGGCGGTAGCAGAAGGAGCTCCCTACCGGCCAAGTCTACCGACGTTTCACATACCTCACACCAGGTACCTCGAAGGCGTTATAAGACCTGTTGGTCCTGGATGAATAAAGTGGGACCCTGTGTTTTAGCCCTGTGCTGGTTAGAAAGGCGTGGGTGGCGCTGGTTCGACAGCAGGGCGTACAAGAAAACATTTTGTAGTGAGACACAGTTCGGCCCCAACAAAAACGGACCATCGGCAACGTTTCCCCTGTCAGAACATTATATAGCTTATGCTGTTGTGTAGGCTATAGTGGGGTATCCCATAAGGGGTACAACCCAATTAGGGTTTCCTATTTGTACTCACTTCATTTCATAGTTCACCCATTCTCGTTCTTCATTTTCTCATGGAATCAGAGCAGGTCCCCTCCTAGGGACTGCTTCTAGGGCCCACCGAAGCGCGCCCCGAGGCGCGTTTTCCTTTTTTTTTTAGCGACCCTCCGTGTCGCCCCTTGCGGCCCCGCCGCCCTCCCTTCGCGGCCCCGCCACCCTACTAACGCGGCCCCGCCGCCCTTCCTTCGCGGCCCCGCCGCCCTGCTCGCGCGGCCCAGCCGCCCTCTGCTTCGCGGCCCCGCTGCCCTGCTCACGCGGCCCCGCCGCCCTCTGCTACGCGGCCCCGCCGCCCTGCTACAGCGGCCCCGCCGCCCTCACGTCGCGGCCCGCCCGCCCTCTGCTTCGCGGCCCCGCCGCCCTGCTCACGCGGCCCCGCCGCCCTGCTCACGCGGTCCCGCCGCTCTCTGCTAAGCGGCCCCGCCGCCCCACTACAGCGGCCCCGCCGCCCTCACGTCGCGGCCCGCCCGCCACCCTACCTGCGGCCCGCCCGCCGCCCTACCTGCGGCCCGCCCGCCACCCTACCTGCGGCCCGCCCGCCGCCCTACCTGCGGCCCGCCCGCCGCCCTACCTGCGGCCCGCCCACCGCCCTACTTGCGGCCCTACCGCCGCCCTCCCTGCGGCCCGCCCGCCGCCCTACTTGCGGCCCTACCGCCGCTCTACCTGCGGCCCGCCCGCCGCCCTCCTTGCGGCCCTACCGCCGCCCAACCTGCGGCCCTACCGCCGCCCTACCTGCGGGAGCCGCCTAGCAGCAGAACCGCCGGGAGCCAAGCCGCCCTGCCGCCGAGCCCCCCGGGAGCCGAGCCGCCCTGCAGCCGAGCCGCCCGGGAGCCGAGCCGCCCTGCCGCCGAGCCGCCCGGGAGCCGAGCCGCACTGCCGCCGAGCCGCCCAACAGCCGAGCCGCCCAGCAGCCGAGCCGCCCTGCCGCCGAGCCGCTGAGCAGCCGAGCCGCCCTACTGCCGAGCCGCCCGACCTGCCCTGTCCGGTGAGCACAGCCCCACTGTCACTGCGTGCCCTTCCCCTACTGCTTGCACTGCTCGTCTGTCGTCGTCATGGCTACCCCTAGTGTCCTCGCTTTTGACGCTGAGGGTCGAGCCATTGACTTTGAGGTCTGGGTCGACAACCTGCAGCTGTTCTTACAGTGCGATAGGGCGGACGGTCTTTCCCTCTTTGACCTCACCTCTGGCGCCTCTCCTGCCCCTGCTACTGATGCTGACCCCACTGTTCGCTCTCAGTGGGCCACCCGCGATGCTGCTGCACGTCTTGCTGTGCGTCGCCACCTGCCTACCACTGAGCGCGCGCACTTTAGTCAGTACAAGAGTGCTCAGACCTTGTACGACGCTGTAGTTGCGCGCTACTCTTCCCCTGCCACTGCTGCCCTGAGCCGCCTCATGCTACCGTACCTCTTTCCTGACCTTACTGCCTTTCCCACTGTCGCTGACCTCATTACGCACCTCCGCACTAGTGACACTCGCTACCGCGCCGCCCTTCCTGCTGAGTTCTGCGCCAAGAACCCCCCCCCCATGTACATCACTCTCTATTACATAGTCACACGCCTCCCTGACTCCCTTCGCGTAGTCAGGGACCACTACCTCTCGGTCTGTCCCACCACTCTCACTGTCGACCTCCTCGAGAAGTCCCTCCTGGCAGCGGAGAAGAGCATCGTCGCTGTAGGAGCCTCTCGTGGTGACCCTCGCACCCCCATCTTTGAGGGGTGTTCTCCTTCCCCCCTGCTGCCCTCTGTTGCCTCTGCTGCTGCTGCCGACCTGCTTGGTCTTGAGTCGGTCTGCGCGGCGTCTGCCCCTAGCGGGAGACGCCGCCCTGGCAGGGGCAAGGGGGGCAAGGGCGCGGGTGGAGCTGGCGGGGGCGGTGGAGGAGGCGGTGGAGGCGGAGGAGGGAGTGGGGGTGGCGGTGGGAGTGGTGGCGGGGGCGGTGGTGGCGGTGGCAGCAGCGGAGGAGGAGGCGGTGGTGGCGGCAGCGGTGGGAGCGGAGGCAGCGGTGGTGGTGGAGGTGGAGGCAGCGGTGGCGGAGGGGGTGGAGCTGGTCGGGGTGGTGCCCCGCTGCGTAGCAGCCCTGGTGGTGGCCAGCGTCAGCAGCAGCAGCAGCAGCAGCGTTCGCGGGACATCCCCCCGCCCCAGCAGCTCCGTGAGTGGTACACGCAGCGTCAGCGGGGTGGGGGTTTTGGTCCGTGCACCTACGTCCTTCGTTCCGGTGACCGAGCGGGTGAGCAGTGTGGGGGTGCGCACCCCACTCAGCGCTGCTTTGGCCGCCTGACGGACGCTTGGCGTCAGCAGTTCCCCGAGGCCAGTGAGATTCCCCGTTGGGGAGAGCTGTCTAGGGCTGGCGTAGCTGTCTTTGATCTTGACTTTGATGCTATCCTTGCTGCCATGTATGCTGTGACTATTAGTGAGGAGGGTGACTGTTACCAGTGTTTCCCGCCCGACCCGGGCATTGGTACTGCTGCGCCAGGTACTTCTGCGGCTGCTGCTCTAGGTGCCAGTGCGTCTGCACTCTCAGGTACTGGTGAGGCTGCGCTCTCAGGTACTGCGTCGGCTTCGGCCTCCCTCACCTTCACACTTGACTCAGGGGCTTCTCGCTCCTTCTTTCGAGACCGCACCACACTCACGCCGCTTGGCCGGCCGGTTGCAGTCTCCCTGGCTGACCCCTCTGGGGGTCCTGTCCTCTCTCACTTCTCCACTGTCCTCCCGTGTCCGGCTGCCCCCTCGGGCACCTTGTCTGGTCTGTACCTCCCCTCGTTCTCGACGAACTTGGTGAGTGGTGCTGACCTGCAGGATGCGGGGGTTCACCAGTTTACTCCTGCGAGTCAGCGGGTGACCCACTGCTCGGATGCCCGCACAGGCCGACACCTGGCCACGTTCTCGCGTCGGCCAGGGTCGAGTCTCTACACACTGACCACTGCGTCTCCTCCTGTCCCTGCGTCTGGCCAGGTAGCTGCG